TTTGTCATTAGTTCTATCTCTTCCTCCAAAATCCTGATTTTTGTTGATGTCAAATGACTTGTTCTTGACATTTGATCTTGATTTTTAGTCAGCCTTCTTCAACACTTTGTTGAATTGTTTTCCAAGTAACAAAATAGCATTGGAAATCTCTTCTTCTATATCCAAGTCACACTCATCTTTAGGATCATAAGTATTGGAGACAAAGGCTATGCTCTTCTTCTTTTCAGATTTTTCACTGATCCCTAACTCAAAAGTTTGTAGGGATCTCATAAGCTCATCAACCTTCATGTTGTTTATGTCTTGAGCTTCTTCAATGGCAAACAACTTCATGTCAAACCTCTTTGGAAGAGATCTGAGAATCTTTCTCACTAGCTTGGCTTCTGACATCTTCTCCCCTAGGGTACCTGAGACATTGGCTATCTCAATAATATTCATGTGAAAGTCATGAATACTCTCATCCTCTTCATTCTTAAGTTTTCAAACTGAGTGGTAAGAAGTTGAAGTCCTGACATCTTCACCTTATAGGTTCCTTCATGAGCAGTCTTCAAGATCTTCTAAGCTTCTTTGGCAACAGTGCAATTACTTATTAGCCTGAAGATATATTTGTCCACTCCATTGAATAGGGAATTCAATGCTTTGGAGTTTCCCTCTGATGATTTTTCATGTTTATCATCCCAGTCTTCCTCGACCTTCACAACATCAGTAGCTTTCCCATCCAGACATACAACAATTGGTGAATCCCATCCCTTGACCATGACTTTCCAAGCCTTGATGTCCATAGATTTGATAAAGGCCATCATACGAACTTTCTAATAGTCATAGTTGGTTCTATAAAGGATTGATGGTTTGTTCATAAATCCTCCATCCATGTCCATTGTACCAGAAAGTATCTTCCTTGAATCTCACCCAGAGTCAGGGCAGGATGTCTGCTCTGATACCAATTGAAACTCTGATATTTAGATCTCAGATGTCCTAAGAGATGTTGAGACACCATTCTCTGAACAAACAAACAATGACAGGGTAAACGATAAATACAGTACAGAAAAGTAAAGAACACACATGATTGTTAACCCAGTCTGGTGTACAACAACACCTACTCTGGGGGATACCAAGCCAGAGACAAAATCAACTAGATAATATCAATTTGAAGGTAAACTCCCCTATTTACAACTTCTCACTTAATCACCACCCTTGCTTAACTTTTACCTAAGACTCACCTAGGTATGATACCCTTCTCAAATCTCTTCCAATCATAGAACAATGACTGAACAATTCTAAACACTTAGAAATTAACAAAAGTCAAACTTCAAAGACACACAATTATTTACTGCTTAAAAGCTTTGGAATGAATGACAAAACTTACAACTCAAAAACATAGTCCTACTCTTTTATCATGATAATCGAGAGGCTCATAATTAACACACAAACCCTAATAAAAATACATTGTAAGTTCCACACATGTACTAGGGTTGAAGCCTTCTATTTATAACCTTCAATGGAATGGATTTGGGCTTCACATATGCAACTTAATATGAAAGAGGCGCTGCATAATTATCTCCTCAAAGATAGGACATCAATCATTAGTTTCCTAAATTATCTCCATAATTAGAAACTAAGAATTCTCATCGAAATCAGCTTTAATCTTTTTAATCTTCAAACTATGCGCCACATAAGATAACATAATATTTATAGGATATTCTGCACCTGTAACAAACTAAAATATCCAACAGTCCAGATGTACAAAATCACGATGTCGAAAGAAATTGCATAGGACACCACATTCGATATGTTGCTCCAGTTGATAGAACATCTTATTTCAACATGTCTATGCTAAGTTAGTTTTACCAAACATAATGCCAATCACTACAAAATAGAGAATTAATACAATACTTACAACTCAATAAGAGAAGATCCCACTATACTATCAAAGTGATATTTGAGAGGCTAACAATTAAAAAAATAGTCCTAATACATTCACTAAGACTCAATATTTATCAACACACAAGACCACCCAAAATCACGTTCTACAATGCTACAAAATACACTACAGTTCACACTCTAATTAGGTTTGTAGCCTTCTATTTAAAACAATCTTCTGGACTGGATTGGACTTTGAAACACAGCAGATCAGTTGCAAAAAATCTGCATAAACTTCTGCAAAAAATTAGGACTTCAATAATATGTTTCCTAAAATGTATCAACATTTAAAGAAACAAATTAATCTTGTAATCTCCATATAAAATCTCAGATTCGTTTGTCTTGGAAGTCAAATATAATATCCTAATATTCCCAGAATATTCAGGACCTGATATAACTAAGTCAATCTAAGTGTACAGTTGTAACAATCACAATGTCTAATGATTCTTCACAGGACATCTTATTCAACATGTTTCTCCAGTTGATATAACATTTTATTCCAACATGTTTCTGCTAGGTTAGTTTTACCAAACATAATTCCAAACATAAAAATAGAGAATTAAGAATCTCACCATTTGGCTTATTTTTGGCTAAAACAACTTAATACTTCTTGCACACATAAACAACAAAACAACTCAAGTTTAAAAATAAATCAAACACACACAAATCAAAAGCATAGTACCAGAAAATAAATGACAGCCTCCCAGATAAACTACGCAATGTTTGACATCTTAACAAAACCATGTTTTAGTATAATTTCTGCCAACCCTTAAAATGATGGAGCTAACATTGTTAATCTTTTTTTAAATTCTTTTTTTCAATTAAAATCTGAATAATGAAATTAAACTGGAAAGTGAATGGTGTGATGGACATTGGGGCGAATTTTCATTGGGCTTGCTACACTGCACCCCACTCAGGTTTGTTGCCACACGGTTTTTGGGACTATTAGACTTGGAGAACAAAAAACATCACTTCTGGACTCAAAATGATGGGCCTCTACTCAAGGTTTTTGCTTTGTAGCACCTCTGATCCTGCTTGCAGCACATGACTTTTTCTTTGTATTTCTTTTTATCATTGTTTGATAATTGTTTCTAATTGTTTTTTTTTCTTGATTGTATTTCTTCATATGATAAAATGACATGGGAAAATAATGTTAGGGTTTTAATTCTTGTTATTTTGAATAATTTTTTGGTTAGTTCTTTTTGCCATGATCCCTTTAGGAAATCCATGAAGCGATTAAACTTTGTTTGATTGTTTTATGTTGAGGTAGACTTTAGGTCTTGATCCAAGCATGATAATATTAGGATAGAATTTTCCCCTTTACAAAATCAACTTTAAGTTCACTCTGCATGATAACAAATAAGACCAAGTTCCCTTAGATGTTTGTTTCTTTTTGCATTGCATTCTCTTAAGACTAAAATCCTTTTCTTCATCAAACTTCAAAAACACTTAATGAATAAAGATACGTATAATACACCATGAGTCTTAAGTATATAAAGAAGACTTTGGATTCGAGGCGTCTGACTCGATCATCCAAGGGTCTTCATATCATAGACTTTATTATCATATGTATCTCAAACAATTTCAAAACTTAAAGGAGATGGATTCAAGTAGTCCCGATGACCACTTGAGGGATCTCCTAACAAAACACTTCAATAAATCCAAACTTTTTGCCTCTTGGATTTTCTATTTAACATTTTCAAAAAGGGTTCGTCACCCATAAAAAACATACAACAACCAACATTTTTGAGAATAACTACGGTGTTCTAATTCCTTCGTGGGATACGTAGGCATTGGGTTGCAAAACTCAAGTGAACGCAATAATAAAAACTTTTATTTTTCCCTTAATAAATTCATCGATACATTCCCTTAGCAAGTAAGCATTAGATATTACACACCCTTTGATTAGAACAACAAGAGTTGATCCCGTGGAATACCACATATGTGAGGGTTGCTCATACCTTCCCCTTGTGTAATAGACTTTCGTACCCTTTCTCTTGGTTGTGAGACCATCTTATCATTTATTTTAGGATTTTCTCAATATTTTTCTTTTCTTCGAGATAAATAAAGTTTAATGGCGACTCTGTATTATTTTTTTACAGTGCGATACACGAGTTCAATATTTACTGAGGCCAATGTTTAGGTTTTTTGATAAATAATATTTTTTAATGTCATGTGATCAAAATCCATTGAATCTTTTACAATTTTTTTATTTTATATTTAACTAAGTCTTTCCATACGTAAGATTAGGTTCAATTCTTTATTATGAATTTGATTAGAATTATCAAAATAATATATTAATATAATTAACAATTTAAAAAAAAAATTCAATCCAATTTATTTACTAAAAGTAATTTACATTTTTTAATTTTATATTTAACTAAGTCTTTTCAAATTTAATTTAATATTAGGTTCAATTCTTTATTCTCTTTAGTAATGAAGTTGATTATAATTATCAAAACAACATATTAATAATAATTCACAAATATTTAACAAAAAATCAATCCAATTTATTTACTAAGAATAATGTGCATTCAATTAATTTTTTTAAATTTTCCTAAAATAATTTTTGGATGTAATTTTTTTACCCTCTCTCATACATATATTGTTTGGTTATTGGTTTTTTTTTCCTCCTCTCATTCGCACAAATTTTTTGATGGCTGTATTTTTCGCATAAAATATTTTCAATCAATTATTACTATACAAAATTATTGAACAAAGAGCACATAACAAATAGTAAATCTACAAAAATAAAGCACACAATAATATTTCTAGACACATTGACAATGATTACATAATAAATAGGTAGAACTACATAATAAATATTTAAATATTTATTAAAAAATTATAAAAATATTAGTTTTTTGTGTGTAAATAAACTTAAAAAGGAGTTCAACTACCTTAACTACTCAACTTGGTTAAAAGGGTAGGCAACCTGCATTTACTTGACCTTTTTTTTCAAACTTTAATAGTATATATAGAATCAAGCCTTCATTACCTTATCATTAATTAATACTCAAACATCCATCAGTATCAACAAACAAGAGATATATATCAGAATCAGTTCTAAGATAAAAGGACTAATGGCATTTAAAGGGTTTGTCTTGTCTCTAGTTATGGTTCTAGTGATCAACATGATGAGTCAAAATGCAGCCCAATCAGGTTGCACTACTACACTCACTAGCTTGAGTCCTTGTCTAAACTACATCATGGGGAGTTCTTCAACTCCATCAACTTCATGTTGCTCACAGCTTTCAAGTGTTGTCCAGTCTTCTCCACAGTGTCTGTGCTCTTTGTTTAATGGCGGTGCTTCGTCTTTTGGAATCACCATAAATCAAACTCTTGCTTTGTCTCTTCCTGGTGCTTGTAAAGTTCAAACTCCACCTGTTAACCAGTGCAAAGGGCAAACATCTCCTTCAAGTTCAACTTCTCCTGTGGCCTCTCCCTTTGGTTCTCCAACTGATTCTTCACCTGAAGGCTCAAAAACACCTTCTGCTTCAGACTTTCCTTCAGGTATAATAATAATAATAATATTAATTTTTGTGCAATGAAAATAGACTATATCATCTAAATATAATAGTATAGTGTTTATTGATTCTTATGATTTTGGTGAATTGCAGGTGGAGGATCAAAAAGTGTCCCATCAGGCTCATCTAATGGAAACTCTAGTAAAGTCTCGTTCCACTTTGTTCTTTCTCTTCTCACCATTGTGTTTTGTGTTGTCAGCAAGTTCTGATTTTGTACATACTGTGATTTGAGTGTTTAAGTTCTATATTTAGCTTATTTTACCATTATGCCATAGAAGATATATTGTTGTTGTATAACTAAGGAATGTTCAAAAAGAAGAAATGAATTTGAAGTTATTCAAGATAATATTATAGATGATGTGTTAATTGAAATTACAATTCAAAATAATAGATAATTGTTTTCACAAAAAGAGAAATATATTGATTTTGTTGGTTTAAGTTTTTTATAATTGAAATCAGGTGCGTGAATGCCGCTTACATAAATTAAAAATTTCAACTGAACACTTTTCGTTTATAATATGAATTAATCAAAAATGAAGTATATGTAAATTTTAGAAGAGAAATGATCTTATGAGAGTAACACTTACACCTACATCTAATATATTATTCACAAATGCTAATATTTTTATTATTATCATTTTAATTTTTTAATTTTTATTTTTTTAAAAATTATTTTGGTTAATAAAATATTAAAATTTGATTAATACTATTTAAAGTTTGGTTAATATATATTTTGAAATTAAAAAAGTTAATATGTATACCATTTAAATTTTAATTAATAGTTTGTATAAAATTGATTAATATATTTCATACTTGGTTAATGAGTTCTCCAATACAAAAATATATATTAAATTGTAAAATAAAATTGGTTAATAGAATATAAAAATTAATTAATATAATTATAATTTAGTGTAAGAACATAATTAATACTATGTATTTTATTAGTTCATGAAGTAGCAAAAATGATTAATAATTTATAAGTAAAATAATTAATTAATGACATACATTTTTGTGGTTAATATAATTGTGAATTTGGTTAATGACACAACCATAAATTTATGTTATAAAATAAATTTTAAATTAAATTATATTGATTTTTCAAGAATCACAGTTGTGATGACTTGAATAGGTTACATTATTTTAATAAACAATAATACGACCTATCTTTCTAGATTTATACACACAATTGTGATGAAAATATAATAAGTGAGTTGAAAATATTGAAAAATAAGATAGGGGAAATGTCACATTAATTAGAAAAGTAGAAATTTGAGTATTAATAAGAGAGAAAACTCATACAAGTATTATCTTAAGGTTTTGGATGAATATGTGGTGTGTATCTCACAAGGTGTGTTGTTCATAAAGAAAGGTCTTAATGCGTGGCATATAGAGCCTGATTCGATCCACCAAACACTTAGTGTGCATCATGAGCTTTGTCTTCAATGAAAGAATTCCTACAAACTTACTCATCCTTGATGTGAAGAATTACGATAAATAGTGCAAGCAAAAGAATGTGTTGTTTGGCTACCAAGATATTCTTGAAGAGAGAAAGAACGCTGTGAATCCTCTTATTGAAAGTGAAAGGGATGCACAACGAGCAACACATAAGGAAGAAAAGAATAAAGATTTCAAGGCAAAAGTAGATATTACTTTTTTTAATCCATCAATGCATTGATATGGATAATTTTGAAAAAATTGGTGATTGTGAATCATCGAAGCAAATGTGAGAAATTTTGGAGAAGGCATACGCAACGGCTGACAAGGCGAAGGTTGTGAAATTACAAGCTCACAAATGGGAACTTGAGTTGATTCATATGGAGGAGAAATATATCATCAATGATTTTATGACGAGAATTACTCGGTTGGTGAACCAAGTAAAATCACGTGGAGAAACTGTCACAGAGCAACATGATGTTGCAAAAAATCTTGCATTCTTTGACGACAAGATTCAATAAAATAGTCATAGCAATTGAGGAATCAAAGGAGCTAAAAATCTCTCTTGAGGCTCATGAGAAGAGGATGGAGGAAAGGAATGTTAATAAGGCAAAGGCAAAGATCGCTTTGTAAACCCGTTTCAATGAGAGAGACAAGAAGGAAAAATGGTAGTGTCCCATGAGTAAAGGTAGATGAAATTTTCATAGTTTTGGTGTGGTAGAGAATCTCAAAATTCCAAGAATTCATCATTTCAAAAGAGTGAAATCAATGGTAGTAATGCTGCTAGGATCAAACAAACTCTAGAGGTGGAAATCTAAGAGATAGAGGTGGAAAAAATGTGGTTGAATATATCAGCGTGCAGTGCTTTAATTGTAAAAAAACTTGGTCATTTGGCAAGAGAGTGCAATTCTAATAAGAAAGAACCTCAAGAAGATGAAGTTAGAGTTGTAAGACAAGAGTTTGATGATGAGAACACACTCTTGGTCATGATCATAGAGGGAGAATGCAGCATCAATGAGCAACGGGGGTAGCAGTTTGAAAAGCACTATAGAACCATGTGTCAGAAAAGGAAAAAAAATATGAGTCGCCGCCACTACTTTTTGTCTTAAGGACGATAAGATCGAATAATTCTAATTTGGTTTAGAGATTCTAGATTCACGAGTTGGTTAGACAAAGGGAAGGTGTTAGGCATCCTTCATATCCCTTGTTCTCAAGGGGCTTCCCACTTAGGTTTTAGGGTAGATACGGAATTTTCTATTTTAAATGTTACTATTTCCATATGTATAAGAGAAGGATTTAATTTTTTAATTATTAGACTCGCATTGGTTTTAACTGTGTGCCTACGTATCCTCTTGCGAAGAAATCATAGTCCATTTTATAGTTCGTATGGTTTGGTTAGTTTTTTTATATAGGATTACGTAGAATTGCTTTCGAATTTATCCTTGAGTCTTGTCTGGGTTTGAAAAGAGTAATCGTAGACGCATTTCGCAATTAATTTTAAAAACAATTCTTTTTAATCTTTTTTTATAAATACTCTTGATTTTTATAAGCTGGTAGAAAAATAATTTGATGTTGGTTTAGTTATATTAATGCATGATTGATAACACATTTGATGTTAGTAAGAAATAGTTTGAATGAATTAATAAAAGAAGTTAGTAATTTAGGAAAATAGTTACTAAACATTATAATAAAAAAAACTTGCTATTATAATATATTTATTAAATAAATTGAATATTTATTAAAAATATTAATCATTATTTTAATGCAAAAAAAGGGAAATTAATTTAGTAAAAAAAATATAAATAAATTAAATGCCCAAAAATAAATAAAATAAATAAAAATAATGAAATTATTAAATAAAATACAGGGGTGTATTATGTTGGGGCCGTAGTAATTAGGGGGTGTTTAGTTAGCAAAGGGCTAAGCTCAAATAGTTGTTTTAGATCCAATTAGGCATAGAAGTGTATTTTCAGTTGATGCAAGCAATTAGGGTGTGTGGATAGGAATGGGCCTGGCCTAGATAACTATTTGAGAAGTCCGCTTGGATTGCGTCAGAGGAAGTGCAGAGGGTTACAATGAGCCACAGTGATCAAGAGAGTTTGACTCAGATCACAAGGTCTCTAAGAGTTAATCATGGGACGTTGATCTGAAGTATAACAAACGAGGGTCAAGATGAAAGTTTGGCTAGGGAATAAGGAAGGAGAGTGCACGTACGAAGCAGACGGAGGGAATATTTAAGAGACAGTCCTTCACATTTGTTTATTTTCCCCTTTCTTTCTATCTCTCTCTCTCTCTACACATTCCTCCGTCTCACTCTCTAAAATCAAGAGAGAGAAGCTCTGGCTTCTCTCTATAAAATAACCCCCCGAAACATCTCCTCCACCACCTCAGCCACTGTGAACCACCAACAACGCCTATTTTTTTGGTTAAAGATCATACCAAAAACTTCAAATCAAACCCAGATCCTCACCAAAACCTAAGAACCCTAGGAGATTAATAACCATAACCCTTATCCATAAGAACCTTAACCCCTAACCACTGTAGGCGGTTGTTGAGGGCAGCCGTCTCAGATGCAAGTCCGCCAGGGACTTCATCTGTTTCTAGGAATCACAAGAACCCTAACCCCCTTTACCCTTTACCCCTTTAGAATCCTAACAACATGAAAACTAGCCCTTAAAGTCTGAAGGACCCTAACCCTAATGTATAAGAACCCTAACCCTAAACCAAAATTTTCCAGAAGAAAATCCACCAATTAAACCTTCAATCGAGCATTAATCACAACAAATATGAGAGCTAAGTACAACCAAACCTTCTCTCTGCCATGACACTTCTCATAAAAATCCTTTCAATTCCTATTCGATTTCTCCTTTTGATCTCTGTGTTCTTTCTTTGTTATTCGCGGGTAATCAAGGCTTCAAGGAAGCACCAAGGATAAAAGTTCGATTCACCTATCTCTAATCTCACACTTTTGTTCTTCAAATCTCTCCCCATGTTCCTTCTTACGTTTAGGTCTTAGGTATTTATATATTTTAGGACTTAGTTGAATTAGGAAATAATTTTATGTTAATTTATAGTTATAGGTTAGATTGATTCAATTAAGATTAGATCTGAATATCTGAGTTTGTAAATTAGTATAGATTTAGTTAGGTTTTAGAATTAGGATTTGCAATCTTGTATGTATCTAGACTGTTTTCGTATTTGTATCCATTCAATCAATAAAAAAACAATTTAAATACAATAGTTCGCTTCAAAATTTGATTTACTTATTGTTTCTGGACTTTGGGTTTTGATGTTTGCTTAGGGTTAAGAAGAACAACATGGGCGCAGCCTGGGACAAGGGTTGAAAGAAAAACCTAATTTTGATCTTTGGTCAAATAATAAAATTTAAATAATAGTATAAATACAAATAATAAAGAATAATGATAATAAAATGAAATAATAATGAACAAAATGATAGATTTGTTGACCCTGGGTCAAGCCGATCACACCAATATATATATATATATTATAGTATATATATATATATATATATATATATATAACTGAATAAAACAAGTAAACAAAAATAACCAGAACAAGATGTTGACTTCGGTCACAACCCTCCCAAACATAAAAACAATTATATTTTATTTAAAACCACCACATCCTAATGAACTTGACTAATTGTAAATGGGCCTTTAAAATTAAATAGATGATGAGCTCAATTGACAAAATATATACCATAAATTTTTATGAAATAAACCCCCTCCAAATTTAACTTCTACTATATTTAAAA